GGGCCAGGCCCAGAGATTGCTCAGGAAGGAACTGTGGGAATCGAGCGTGGTGATCCAAGGTAGCCATAGCCCACAGGCCCCAGTGGGAGGCCCCCATGCCCCCTAACCTGCCCCCCAGGGTGAGCATCAATTTTTCACAAGGCCCATTCAGAGGCGCCGGGGCATTTGATCCTCTGTCCAGGACGCTGCCTGACACCTGAGCCCTGACCCCTGCCCCGGAGCTCCGGAACGCAGCAGGCGTGCAGTTCTTCTGGAGACCGTGCCAGACTGGCCGGCCGGGAAGGCAAGTCACCAGCGCTGGTGGTGCTGCCCTCCTGCACCAGCGTGAGCCTCAGAGGCCGCACAGAGCCAGGGCTTTCAGGGCCCTGGAGCGTGGATGGGGTGGTAAAAGCTTGGAATTTAATGGCCACATTAAATTTTTCTTGTAAGCTTTCTTTTTTTCTTGTAAGAAAAAAGCTACAAGATAAACTTTTTCCTCAAAATGAGAACTAGTCTCTGTTAAGTCCATTGCTTTTCAAATTGACAATAGGGAAAGCAAAACTGTGTTTGCATGTCTATGCCCATGCCTGACTTTCCCTGGTCCCCACAACAACCCTGGGTTGGGGTGGGGGCTTCCTATTCCCATTTCACAGATGGAATTTTTGAGGCACAGAGGAAGGAAGTCACTTATCCAAAGAGAAAGAGAGAGAGAGAGAGAGATCAAGAAAGAGTGTCAGAGGCCAAAAGAGTCTCCCCCCCCCCCCGCCCCCCGGTTGCCAGCCCAGCACGTTTGTGCCCCTGCCCCAGGCCTGGTCAGAGACCAGTCAATGGACGCCATGCCCCTTGACTCTTCTCTTGTCCAGGCGACAAGCCTCCATCTGCCCAGGCTCAGGACAATTTCATTCAGTGGCTGCTGTGGCTGGGACCCCGACCAGGAGCACATGGCTCCCAGGTGGCCCAAGCCCCTGATACCCCCAGACGTCCCACAGCCCTTCTCCCAGAGAGCCCAGGAGAGCGGGCAGCCCGTGCTTACCGGGGTCCCAGCTCCCCACACTCAGCTGCCTACCAGACTGGATGCAACTGCCACCGGCACGAAGGGCTCAAGAGCTGGGGTCACGCGTCTGGGACAGTCTGCAGACACACGTCCCCTCTTCCTCTGTCTCACTCCGGGGCTCGGCAGTCTGGGGGCTCTCTTTGGATGTCACTTCTTCCCTGTGTGACTGTCTCCCTCTCCGCCTCTCCCTCTCTTTCCCGGCCAGGGCAGCTGTCCAGCCACACCGCTGCCCTCCCCGCTTGCCACTCCAGAGCCTTCCCTCAGGAGGCGGAGTCAGAGGGGCCTCCAAGGTCCGGGTGCGGTGACATCAGCGCCGGGGCCGGCTGTGCTGCTCAGGGCCCTGCGCGTGCAGTGGAGGCGGGGGCCCTGGGGTCCCTGGGCTGTGCTGCTGAGCAGCGCGGGACTGGACACCGCCTCCCCGCAGCTTCCGCGCCTATTATATGTAGTAAGGCCACCTGCTCCCTGCACGTGGGCGGGGAACCTCCTGCTCCTGACCGGGTCACAGATTTGCTGAGTCTCGGCATCTGCCCGCCATCCACCAAGCCCGTGTTTTCCGTAAACGCCTGCTTGGCACTCCTGAGAGGAGACGACCTGGCAGGGCAGGGCCGGGCGGGGGTAGCAAGCCCCACGTGCTGGCCCTCTCTCCCCAGACCCACTTCCTAAGAACTCCCCTCAGACGTGCCTCTGAAGCTCTTCACTATCAACACTGTTCCTGGGTTGCGGGTTGCCGCGGGCAGGGGTGGGGGAGGGGGCCACAGGTGTTGTCCATAATCATCCAGGAAACTTTCCCAAACCAACTGATTTGGAGCAACCCTGCCTGTACCAGGAAAACATATGAATTGAAGTGAAATAGTGTGATTTAAAAGTGTGGGGTGGGGCGAAAACAGGAGGAGTACACCAAGCGTCCTTGGCATTGGCAAAGACAGTAATGTTGCAGACTCCTTGCTGAGACCTCTTGTCACCACCCTTTGCCTCCTGCCACCCGGCAGCTGCCCCATCAGTGCAAGCCTCGCTAGGGGAACTTTGGCCTGAGCAGAGGGGAGTACTTGGTCTGCAGGGAAGAGGTTAGCCGCTTTCCTCCCCATGCCCCCAACCAAAGAATGGGGTAAGAGGCTCAAGTGTGCCACCTGCTGGGGACCAGCACAACTGCCCTCCAGAGCCCCCACAGCAGCAAGGCTGAGCCTCCAGCCTCCGCCTGGAGCAGCAGGTGGAAGCAACAGTGCCCTGACTCTGACTCGACCTTCCTGAGCCCCCCAGGGGCTGCTCCAGGGCACGATCCTCCCTTCAGGGCTACTGCCTGCCACCGACACTTGGCTGGCTACCTACCACTCTTCCAATCACCTCCCTTGCTGAGCCTCCCAGGCTGGTGGCGGCCTGCATCGACTGGAAAACTGAGACCCCAAGAGGAACACAGAGGTGGAATGCCGGCCTGGTTTGTGAGGATGGCCCTAGAGTGGTAGGGAGTGGAGAGGTCCTCAGTGACCTCTGGATGCCGCGATAGCAGCAATTTACTCAGCATCCAGTCATGTACTATGCTAAGCACGGCTCAGCAATTCATAACGTCCTTTGCTCATGGTCCTATGGAGAAACCTACAAATTGGCCTTCATTCATTTTCCCTTCTCCCTCATCCCTCACCCCAACCCAGTCATCACTGAAGTCTGTCCACTCTACCTCCAAAATCTGTGCACCCTTTCTCCCCAGCTTCCTGACTGGAGCTGCCAGCATCTTCCTCCCAACACCCTCCACTCTGGCCTCCCCACAAACCCAGCTCCTCTTCCTGGGCTGCCTCCCTCCCTCCACTGCCCACCTGTACCAAGGGCGTGGACTGGACCTTCCCTCCCAGGCAGGCTGGAAGCCCCCAGAACCCACACTGGCTTTCCAGCCACTCCCTGCATGGTGTTTGTTAGGATCAGTGTTTCCATTGGCCTCCCTGCCTCCTCTCCAACCCATTTGTGGGCTGCCCCACAGATGTGACTGTAGCTGGCTCCCTGCATCCCCAGTGCCTGAGACGGGGCTTGGGACAAGGCCAGCTGAAGGAATGATGGAATGATCCCCGTGACCTCTGCCTACAGATGCACCAGGTGGGGAGCAGGGCCCAGCCTCAGCTGGAACTCCCAAGCCCTCCCTCACATGCCTCTTGACCAGAGGACAGTCACCTAAGCCTGGGACTCCATTGTCCCTTACCCCCAGAGGGACAGACAAATACCAGAAAGGCTTTCTAGGATTGTGGTAATGTTTATTCTGAGAACATAGCAGGTCTCCAGTCCTGACCCCACAAGAGGCCCTGAGGGGAGTGGAGTCCACATCTGAGTGGTATGGACCGGAAGCCCTGCCCAGCTGCAAATGGGGACTCTGAGGCCCCCTTGAGCTAAAGGGTGCATCAGGTGAGCAGAGCAATTGCTCTCCCCACCCCACCCTCTAGTCCCATCCTGGAAGAACTCCATCCTCACCTGCCCAGGGACCAGGGATCTTTGCACAGCCAGGAGCCAGCCTGGCCCACTCGAAGGGCAGCAAGCAAGGGCAGGGCTACCAAACCCCTTTTGGGGGGGAGGGGAGGCAATGCCCAATCCCCAGACTGAAGCCCGGGCCCACCAGCTGGTCCTGGTTTACCCCTAGCCCAGGTAGGCATGGCTGAGCCAGGACCTGCCAGCCCCAGGGGCCCACACCTCTCCACCCGTCAGGAGTCTCCACTTGGAAAAGACACTGAGGAGTGATGACGTGAACGTGTGTAGTGTGCACGCATACGGAGATACAAAGAGGGTGTGGTTTGGCCCTTAATTGGCACTTCTTAGTAAGAGCGCTGACAAACAAGAACCATTGGCCCCACATTGCAGAAGGGAAATTGAGGCACAGGAGGTTTCAGTGACTTGCTCCTGGTCACGTGGTCACGTGCCAGCCCCAGGCCCAGGTTCTGGAGGGAAGTCCCAGCTTTTGGAGGAGTCCTCTTGTCCTCCTTGGTCCGGTCCCAGCTCCTCATGGGGCCAGAGGCCAGGACACAGAACAGAGCCAGCCACGGAGTGGGGAGGGCAAGTCAAGAGTCCAGCATCTCCCGCCGGGACACTGCACCGAACAGCCAGATGTGGAGCTAGACATTCAGGTGCCCAAAAGGAATTCCCAGCAAGGCCACCAGAATTCCTGCTCTCAAACCAGCTGGGCTTTTCATTTATGTCGCCTGGTCTGGAGCCAGAGAAAGCAGAGCAGAGACCCAAGCAGGTCATGGTGCCAACACCCGCCAAGAGCGCGGTGCTGGCGGGTGATACATCCAAATAGAAGACATCCTCTGCTTCAGCCACCTGTGGGCCTCCTCTGAGAAGGCAGGATTTCTCCTCAGCCCTCCCCCTCCCTCCCCAGCGCAATCAAAATAAAATCAGAGGACCACAGGAACTAGAATTTAAGATGGAAAAAGGGGTTCGGGCTTTCGGTTTTCCTTTAAAAGCCCCTGGTTAAAATCGATAACACATAAAGAATATAAAACACTGAGGACTAAAGGAACATTTTGGTCTGGGTAGCAAGAGGAGGGCCATAACCTCTTTGGCTACATTCTGGGGGGAATGCGGGGTGTGGGGCCTCTAGTCAGGTGATGGATTTACCTGTCTCCTGCCAAGCCCACTAAGTGACCTGAGCCCAGTGGGCCTAAGACCACCATTCCCAGCGGCCCTCCTCCCAGGAAGAGCCCAGAGATGTCCTCAGGCCCCCCACACCCTCTGGCCCATCAAACCAGGCACACTTCTCTGGCATAAAGGTAGTAAGAGGCAGGAAGATGTCCCTCCTCCTCCCCACTGCCATCATCCCACTAGGGGCCTTCACCCAGAGGCTAGGAGTGAAATCAGAGCCTGGGGTGAGATGGCAGCCATAGCCCCTCTGTGCATCTGGGCATCCACCTAGGAGAGGGCCTGAGAGCAGAGGTGAGGCCCAGGACAGACGCTGGTCCCAGAGTGGCAGGGAGGTGCCCGGCGCCACCGGGGGTCTCCTGGGCATCATTTATTCATTTAGCTAATCTCGGTTGAATAAATGGATGGGCAAGTAGACAGGATCAGAGAATGAACATATGTCACCTGCCCATTTTTCTGACTCCAGCCCAAGCAGGAACCCAGCAAGAGCCAAGAGTCCTTTCAAGGTGGCTAGAACAGGTGTAGGTGACAGAGAGAACAAGGTCTGGGACACAGGGGCAGGCCTGGGGCACAAAGGGCAAGGGTGGGGCTGGGAAATGTGGCAGATCGTGTGTAAACAAGTGACATCTTGGCACCCCATTGGCAGACAGCAGGGCCTTGGGAAAACATTTTCAACGGATAGAGTCCCTTAGCAGTGGTGACAGCTGGGGCAAGGAGAGCTATCGTAAATCTCAGGCAGGAAGGCTCCTCCATGAGAAGGGAACGCTTTGGGGTCCTTGGGACACTGAGGCCCTGAGACGGACAGAGGCCTCGCAAGGTCACACAGCCAGTCAGTAGAAAAGCTGGGGAAAGGCCCCCAGCGTCCTGGCTCCCGGCTAGTCCCTGGCCGGGTTGGGGACATGCAGATGGTGGTAACACTGTGGAGGCCAGGCGGCCGGGCAGGTGTCAGACAGCTGTGAGGGAGGTGCTGCTGAAGACACACACGGTCACGGTGCCAGGCAGGTCGCTGGGCTGCCGGCCGCTGCGGTCCTGGAGGTGGACGGTGTGCAGGGTCTGGAGGTCGTCCGGGTCAGCCTTCAGGTGCACCTGGCCCAGGAATTCATCCTTCAGGACCCGGTGCTTCCAGACCTGGGAGGAGGCAGAGGCTCGTGAAGGGGCTGTCTTCAGGAGCAGGAGCATAGGTCTGCGGGGGTGGTGGCGACAGGGCTTGCAGCCCATTCTTGCGGGGCAAGCCTGGCTAGAGACGAGGAACCCCGCACTGCCTCTGCCTCCCGGTGACCCCAGGGCAAGGCCGTACCCCTTCCGGAGCCTCAGGCCTCCTCCCATCTGTCAAACTCCCTTCCACATAAGCATGTTATTAGTTCTGCTGGTGACCTTAGGGGACACTGGACAAGTGATACACCTGCTGCTCTGATTTCCCCATCTTCATTACAAGGGTTGGATCAACGGCCCCTATGGGTCCTTTCAGCCCCAATATCTATGGGTCTGTGATTTGATCCAGTGGGACCCAGTGTTAGGAAAACTTGGAAATCCTATAGTAGCTTCCCCAGGGGAATGGGGCGTCTTTTTACAGATGGTTTCTCACCAGGGAGGGGCTGGCCTGGGTGGGGGGACAGAGGACTTTCCACTAATGAGCCCAGAATCATCCACTGGCCTCCTTGGCCTGAGAAGGAAAGGAAGCCTGTGCCCAGGACTCTGGCTTCCTGGTCCCCCCCCCCCTCGGGAAACAGCCACCCCTGCCACACGGCGTCTGGCTACAAGCTCTCCAGGTAGATCTACCTCCAGAGGGATTTAAGAAATAACTCCCAAACCACTGGGACAAAGCTGGCAGGGGTGACCACAGTCCCTGGCCAGGAGAATGACCCTGCTTTGTCTCAAAATCATGCCAGCTCATTCAAGTCACCCACCCCACAGCGGGGACTCTGGGGCACCAGGAAGGGCCGGCAAGAGAATTCTCGAGGGGCCAAACCATGTCAGGGACAGAGTGAGAACCAGAACTTAGTGTTCCTGCGTCTCCAACAAAAGCTCTGGGCCCCGTCCCTGTGAGGGGGAAGCATCAGGCAGGGAGTGGCAGTAGGGGGGGCGCCTCAGGATGGACAGTGTCACCTGGACTGTGATGGGCTGGCCTGGCTTCTTTCGGTAGAAGATGCCTTTCACGTTGTACTCGGGCGTCGAGGTACCTTTCCACACAGCCGAGCGGACTTTGTCACCCTCGCACTTAATGATCACATAAGAGTTGGCCCCTAGAGAAATTGAGTGGGCAATGGGGTGATGGTGGGGGCTGGGGCAGAACCCGACGAGACAGATGTCTGGGAGGGGAGTTTCCCTCCCCAAAGCAGAAGACTGGAGTTCATATATCCAGGAGAAGGGAGACCAGAGGCTAACTTACTTCCTAACTTCCAGAAACAGAAGGGGGCATGCTGGCAATCTCTGGTCTCCATGCCCCGAGCACTTTTCTCCCTCTTCCACTTCACCAGCATATCTTAATGCTTCCTCAGCCTGGAGAAAGGCCACCTCCTCCGGGAAGCCTTCAATAAGCCAGGTCTCCCAGCTGTCTGACCCCGTGTCTGACTGCCCCACCACACTGGAAGCTGCCCAAGAGCAAGCGGCAGAGCATGTTCCTCTCTATGCACCCAGTTTCCTTCCAAGGCTGGGCCCAGGCTGGATGGTAGGATTCAGTGAGCAAGAGCAGGAGAACTCTGGAGGCTGGGTGACTGCTGATGAACAGTCAGGAGAGAGCATGGGGCACCTCCTTGGTGAGGTGGGTCCTGGCACTTTCCCCTAGGTGGGCTCACCTGTCGAGGAGTCCTTGAGACCAGTAGCCCTTTGGACTTGCACCTGAGTCACCTGTTGGGGGTAGCCACATAAGGAGCTCCAGCAGGTACGAGGGGGTTCATCCAGGCGCAGCTCCCTGGTACAGGGCAGGGGAGGAGAGGGGTGAGGCGATGGACAGGGGACGGGGAGATGGAAGGGGAGGGGGTTCAGGAAGGAGGGAGGGGAGGGGAGCAATATTTAGTCCACACATTGCTCATCCTGGGCAAACCACCATGGGCTTCCTGCTGCTCTGTCTCTATGCAAGGGTGCCCCATCCTCTCGGAGACAAAAGCAATTTACTGAACACCTGCTGTGATGTTACAGGTATTATTTGTAATTCCTCCCTAAAGCCCTGAGTGATAATGACTATTACCATGTGCATTTTACAGACTACAAGCACTGAGCTCACCAGGAGAAGGGATTTGCCCCACAAGCAGGACAGCGGTAGACTCAGCTGGGCAGGACTCAGGTCCACTGAGCCCACCACACATGCTGCCTCCCACGTCTGCAGTTCATGCAAGGAGCACTGAATCTGGGTTGCCTATCAAGGTGGGAGTGTAGTGTGGGGCTCACAGGGTCTGCACCCCAGCAGGGATGTGATGGCTCCGGCAGGGTGCCTAGCACAACTCGACCACTGGGGAAACTGCCCCCCCCAACCTTGATTCCCCAATCCTAATCTATAAAATGGAAGGGCCAGGCCCTCCACTTGGGGTTCAGGAGGGGCAAACAAGATGAGTGAAAAAGCTTTGTAAACTATGAAGTGCTATGCATGTGTGAGACACTGTCCCTTTATGTAGCCAAGAGAGGCTGGGACAGAGGAGTGAGCGGAGGAAGGCCATGGATGCCAGTGTCAGCCCAAGGTGGCTGGAGGTCTGGGCTCCAAGCCTTGGGCAGACTCTTCACATCTCTTGGCTGCAAATTCTGGGGTCAGCCTGGGATGGAACTTGACCGTCCCCCCACCCCCACCCCGCAACCCTTGGCCCAGAGCCCACCCCCACGCACTGGCAGTTGGAGGGCACATCAGTGAAGACTCGAAGCAGGAACTCGCCAGTGTGGCCCGGCTCGAAGGTGGTGGGGATGATGACAAAGCGGCCCTCGGGCTGGTCCGTCCGTAGGAAGACACTGCGTGAGTTGATGTAGATGGAGCTGGCGGCCCGGTGCTGCAGGCTGTGCATGCGGTACTGGCGGTTCTCCTCCACCTGCGGGGAGAGGGGAGGCTGGTCCACACGGGCCCACCCGCCGTCCGTCCACATCGCACATGGCTCCCACACCGGCACCGCCATGAAAAGAGGGAGAGAATCCACTTCCCTGCAATGCCCAGAAAAGGCAAATCTGCAGAGACAGGGGCAGATGGGTACTTGCTTAAGGCCCGGGGCTGGGCGATGCAAGAAGGAGGATGGGACTGAGTGGCGGCAGCTAAAGGGTGTGAAGTTTCTTTCTGGGCTGACGAAACTATTCTAAAATTGTAGCGATGGTCGTACAACTCTACAAATACACTACAAATCACTGTACACTCTGAATGAGTGAACTGTGTGGTATGTGAATTATATCTCAGTAAAGCTGTTAAGAGTAGGAGGACAACAGGAATCCCCCTGGTAACAATGTCCATGGAATTTCTGACTCAACAGACCGAGTATCGCTATCTGCCCACATCACAGCACGTGTCCGTGAAATGACATCACCAGCTGCCAGGATGTGCTAGACAATTCCTGGATCGAGTGCCATGATAAACTATAGTCCTACCTCTTTAGGTCATGATGTGTCAAAGCCACCACACTTCAGCACCCAATGGATGTACTGACATAAGGACACATACAAACTGTCACATGACCAAGCACGTCAAATGCAGAGGCTCAACTCAGACCAGGTGTCTAGTGCATCCACATGATCTTGTGCGGTTCTTGGCGTCTGGTGGGCCTAGTGTCCTGCTATGCTACGTGTCATCACACATCAGGTGTCACAAAACGAGGGACTCAGGTTCCAGGCCAGCGGGAGCAGTCAGTGGCAAGCCTGCCTGGCTCTACCCAGGATGCTTCCTCCCAGGGTCCAGCAAGGCCTCCAGCTCAGGGGGACCCAGAGCCCTGAGGAAAGGTGCAGCAGGGGCCTCCCAGAGCATTGCCCCGGCCACCGGCAGCCTTCCCCTTCCTTCCATCAAACAGCCTGTGGGTCCAGGACAGGAAGGAATCAGCAGAGAGCTCCCAAGGCAGCCAATCCCAGGCAGGCCGGGCTTGGTTCCAAACAGGGCTCATGCTACAGCATGCCCACGGCATTGGCCCCTGTGGCCACATGGTAGGGATGAGGTCAGGGACCAGAGGGTTCTAGAGTGCTCTCCCCCGGGCCAAGGTAGCCTAAAATCCAGCTCCCTCACTCTCCTCACCCATAGCAGGGGTACTAGCTGGCCTCACCTTGTAGATGTCAAAGCCAATGGCCAGATTTTCACCCTTGCCATCCCGGCGGGTAGACTGTTTCGGCCGCTGCTGGATGCAGATCAGCACTTCATCTTCTGGCTTCTTGACATCAAAGATGTACTGCAGGGATGGCCGAGGAAGAGAGACACTCAGTAAGACCGTGCCGGAGACAGGTTTGCTGGCTCCCAGAAGCTAGGCCGGAGCCAGGCCCCGGCTCAACAGTGTGCACCCAGGTGAGTCATAGCACCTCTCTGGGCCTCGGTCCCTCATCTGTGACACAGGCTCTACAAAGCCTACCCTGCAGGAGGGGCGGGGGACTCGGGGAGATCACGGATGCTCAGCTCTGAGCCTGCATGCAGTCGGTGCCAAAAGAAGGCACACCAAACGTGAGAACTAAACAGCTGCCTGGGTCATGACCCAGGGGGCTGCTGGGGAGACGTGCGCCCTGAGGGAGAATCAGCCTGGCCAAGCTCCTCTGGAAGGAGCAGCACTGTGTGTGTGGAAACAAGGGGTTTGAGCCCTTGGCTTAGCCTCCATGCAACATCCCTGTGACTCTGGACAAGACACCCATTTGTCCTCAGAGCCCTAGTTCCTTGTCTTTACCATCTGCAGGTCACCCAGGACCCCCTGAACATGCCCACCCCTCCCTCACTATACAGACAGGCCCGCAGAGGAACAGCGAGATACCCAAGGTCATGCAGGACAGTGGCAAGGGCCAGAGGGGGCATCTCTGCAAACACTCACTTGTGGATTCTGAAAGAAGGTGTCCTTGTGATTGATGCAGCCTCCACTGCGGTTCTTCTGGGGGTCCTCGTGCCGCGTCCAGGCACCCCGCAGCCGGGCCTCCTCCCACGTCTTATGGACGCTCAGGTAAGATGTATTGATCAAGCGGCACTTGATGATGTCGGTGAAGTAGCGGCACATGTCCTCGAAGGTCATCCTGGCCATGATGGGGAGACTAAGCTGGCCAAGGCCCCTGGCTGGCCCACCCGCCCACTCACCCTGTGTGCTCTGAACCCCAACCCACACAGGAGTGGGTACAGACGTGGTGGCACTTGGCCGTTTCACATCTCTTCTGGCCTCAGTTTCCTGATCTGTACAATGGGAATGAATCTCTCAACGGCTGCCTATCTCGCAGTTAGTGTAGGAATTCAGTAAAGCAATAAAGGCAGGTAGTACAAGTTCCAGTGGACAGAAGCTGGCAGAGGCTGGCTGTTACCATTATTAATAGTGTGAAGGACTACTGTGTCTGGCCCTCTACCGTCTAGAAAGCATGTTTCCGTCTATTGACCATAGCTGCTGTGAGGCCCGAAGCCACAGGGGGTGGGAGTCCCTCAGTAAATGTGCTGTGGTGGCCGGAGTGCTGCCTGGCATACCTCCGGGAGCTGGGCAGGGGAGGGGAACACACACGCCCCCCTTCAAGTACACACATACATGAGAACATGCACATACACACACCGAGCGTGAGCATATATGAGACAGGCCTTAGGAAGAAGCCCCTTCCACTGATGATGGTTTTCCAGTGCTCTGTTTTAATTTAACAGCCCCCTGAGCCACACTGGGCAAAACAGATCTCATCCTCAGGATCCCAGACTGGAAGCCCCAGGTAGGGGTGGGTTTCCCGCAGTGGCTCCCCTGACACCTGCAGGAGGGACCCTCACACCTGCAGGAGGACCACTGCCACCCGCCTCTGAGCCAGCCTGGGGCCCTCATGGCATCTACCGCACACAGGGTACCCTGTGCCCCTCCGGGAAGCAGCTGAGTCTCAGAATTAAGTGTCCTGCTTGGCACAGAGTCAGGACTAAATGTAGGCCAAACGAATGTAGGAATCATTATTGGGCTCTTTTTTTTTCTTTTAATTTATTTATTCATGATAGACGCAGAGAGAGAGAGAGAGAGAGAGAGAGAGAGAGAGGCAGAGACAGGCAGAGGGAGAAGCAGGCTCTACACAGGGAGCCCGACGCGGAACTCGATCCCGGGACCTGAGGACCATGCCTGGACTGAAGGCAGGCACTAAACGCTGAGCCACCCAGGGATCCCCCCATTATTGGGCTCTTTAAGCAACACAGCTGCCATCTTCCCAGCCCACCCTCAAACCACATACCCCCAATCACCCCTCACCTCCCCGAACTTCCTTTTCTCAAACCCCGTGTCCTCTCACCCCCAGGCTGGGTCTCTATCCTGGCCCACCAAGGCCTCCTTTGCACTCCAAGGCCAACTTAGGGAGCTTGGAGTGACCCCGAGAGGCCTCTCCTGTCCCCTCCCTGCTCCCAGAAATCTGGCTGCCAGCATGCCCCCTGCCCTTCAGTCAATTCCTCACCTGCTGGCCTCCTGGCTACTCGCTGAGGGCCCACCCTGGGGGCCAGAGCAGCTCGGGGTCGCCTGAGGTTGGCAGTGAGGACTGGGGATGAACTGCCCGACTCATTTCACAGAAAAGGAAAGAGGTACACAGAGATGGCGTGTCTTGTCCAAGGACACAGAACAAGTCAATGGCGGGGCACCTGCTAGAGCCCTGGACGCCCAGGAGCGCACTCACCAGAACTCCCCGTCATCCTGCACGGTCACACCCATTTTCTCCCGCTCGCTCTTGCTCACTTTCTGCCACTCCTCTGAGCTGGAAGGTGGGCATGGGGAGGGAAGGGGAGGAACGTAAGAAGAGAGACCTCACCAGGCCACACTGGGGAAGGAGAGGAGGCATGAGGGACAGCTCAGCACCAGGCCTCCCCCACTGTGGGTGTGCTTGGGGGCACCAGGGCCAGGCCCAATCCCTCTCCCAAAAGCCTGTCTGCCACCCCCACAGGTAACCATAGGTTGCCACCATGTGAGGGGCCGGAGGTCTGAGAGCAAAGCTGCAGGCTGGGGGCAAGGGTGGAATGACCCTCAAGGGAGGGGGCTCCTTTGCTGGGGGCCTGACTCTGCTGCTGTTCTGGCTTCGCCAGGGCCATGAGCCAAACATAGAGCAGACCCCCCATTCTCAGCCCTGGTGGCCTCTCCCTTCCCTACTCATCGCCAGACGGGGCGCTCTGTCCCCTGCAGTAATCAGCTTACCACCACCTCCAGGTCCCCGCCCTGCAGAACCCACCCCCAACCCTTCCCTCCACCCACATGTCGGTCTCCTAATGTCATCCTCCTCCCAAGTCCTTCAAGGCCCAGCCACCTCGTCCAGGAAGCCCACCCTTGTCCTTGCCCAAGCTCTCATACGAGGGCCCCACCCACCCGGGGTCTGTCCCCATCCCACATCCCCATCCCACATCCCCATCCCTAGGCCTCACGTGTCACTCCAGGGCCCGTTCCATTCCCGCTCGCCCCAGGGGTTGCGCAGGCGGATCATGTCCAGCTTCTCCGACTTGAAGAAGGCCAGCAGGCCGTGGCCCAGGCGCACCTTGCGCACATCAGTGATGGCATACGCGTGGCCCTTCACCAGGCCACACGCAAGGCGGGCCTCCATGTCTGCTGCTGTCACCGCCTGCGGGAAGACACAGTTGCCCAGAGAGGCAGAGCCTGGTCAGGCTCCAGGCAGAGCGGCAGCAGCGAGGTGGGGTGGCGGGAGGGGAATGTGTGCCTACACCGTCCCCCAGAGGACAGGGAAGGCTTGGCAGCCCCACACAGGGAGGCCAGGCCTGGGGAAGGAGCTCAGTGTTCATAAAGCAACCCCCCAAGAAAGGGACCCAAAGTGGGGCTGGCCCAGGGGTGTACTGGAGTTCAGGGGCACTGGCTCAACTGTGCAACTGTGAAAACATTAGCTGGAAATCAACACAGTGGGAATATTTACACCACAGACATCATCAAATGCTACAAATCAGGGCTTTTCATTTTTCCAGGGGGCCAGTCCATCACCACACCACTGGTGTCTGCACTGAGCCTCAGCTTCTCCACCCGAAACAGCAGCAGTCAATGAAGTAAGTTGGTCCTCTTGAAGGACCAGGGTCCCTCCCCCCTTCCAGTCTCCTTGAGCGTGCGATGTCTCACACCCTCCGATGCACAGACACCCCACTGCCCCAGTACAAGATCCCATACAAGGGGGATGCTGGTCCAACAAGAAGGCCTTTCACACCGTCGGGGTTAGGGCAGAAGGGCCTGTGGCTGGTGCCGCCTCACACTGGGGAGGGGTTGCACCCCCCAGCTGCTCCCCTGCACCCATCGGGCTGAAGGTGCAGATTTATGAGCCCCTCTGGGTAGGGGCTCTGCCTGTGACCCCACCGCCAGCTCCCACCCCAATAAGGGCTGATGAAGGGGAGGGCCGCCTCTGCACTCTCACCTTGATGGAGGCGCTGATGAGACCCCCCCGGCTGTGCACCTTCAACACACGCTCAAAGAGCTGGTTCCTCTTGGCCTCATCGTGGGCAAAGCCACCCTCGGTCAGGTCGATGGGCTCGGAAACGCCACCTGTGAAGTCCACCAACGCATCTGCCGTGTTGCCTCCATCCAGTGCCTGGTAACAGCCTGCCAGCCTGAGGAGCAACATGGAAAGAATTCCCAGCTCATGCTCCCCAGCCAGTCTATATCCCTCCCGTTATCGGGGACATTCTGGGGACTCAGAGAGTAGATCAAGCACACTGCTAAGGTCACACAGCCAACAGTGGAACCCAGGTCTCTGGCTCCTGCACCAACATCTGTCCTGCTGAACCACACCATTTAGTCACCCAAATTCCCCTTAGCCCCTAGCAGCCTGTCTTCAAAATTAGCTGTCCAGAAATTGAGCAATGCTTCTCAAAAGCATCAAAAGCTCGTGTAGTTTTTGAAATATCAACTATAAATAATTCACGTTGTTTATAACAATGTAAACCCAGAAATCACCTAAATGTCTAACAACAGGGAATTGGCTTGAGAAACTAATGCTGCCTCTGTGCTCTGGGACGTGAGGCAGCCCCTGGATGAAGCCTTGTAAAGGAACGCTTAAGGCAGAAAACACTAGTGTTCACTCGGTACGTTTGAAAAAACAATACACCTGGATTCCAATGATGTCTGAAGTGTATGCAGGGGCACCTGGGTGGCTCAGCTGGTTGAGCATCTGACTCGGTTTCATGATCTTAGGGTTGTGAGATCATGCCCAGTGTTAGGCTCCGCACTCAGCAGGGAGTCTGCTTGAAGATTCTCTCCCTCCCCCTCTGCCCCAGCACACGCTCTCTCTTTCTCTCAGGATAAATAAGTGGATCTTTAAAAATAATAATAAAATAAAATGTATGCAATAATACATTTAAAAAACATTAAGTGGAGTGCCTGGATGACTCAGTTGGTTAAGTGTCTGCCTTCAGCTCAGGTCATGATCCCAGGGTCCTGGGATGGAGCCACATGTCAGGTTCCCTGCACAGCAGGGAGTCTGCTGCTCCCTCTCCCTCTGCCCCTCCCCTCGCCTGTGTGGGTATGTGCACTCTCTCTCAAATAAATACTTAAAATCTTTTTAAAATTACAATAAAATAAATAAATACAATAAAAATAAGTACAGGGATGCCTGGATGGCTCAGCAGTTGAGCATCTGCCTTCAGCCCAGGGGTAAGTCCTGGAGTCCTGGGATCAAGTCCCACATTGGGTTCCCTGCATGGAGCCTGCTTCTCCCTCTGCCTGTGTCTCTGCCTCTCTCTCTCTGTGTCTCTCATGAATAAATAAAATCTTAAAAAAAAATAAGTAAAAAGTAGGGCACCTGGGTGGTTCAGTTGGTTAAGCATCTACTTTCAGCTCAGGTAGTGATCCCAGGGTCCTGGCATTGAGCCCCACCTCAGGCTCCCTGCTTAGTGGGCAGTGATGCTTCTCCCTCTCCATCTGCCCCTCCCTCCACCTGTGCGGGTGCACATACACACTCTCTCTCAAATAAATAAATAAAATCTTTTTAAAAAATTAAAATTAAATAAATACACTAAAAATAAATACAAAATAGGGGCACCTGGGTGGCTCAGTTGGTTGAGCATCTGCCTTTGGCTCAGGTAGTGATCGCAGGGATCGAGTCTCACCTCAGGCTCCCTGCTCAGTGGGGAGTCTGCTTCTCCCTCTCCATCTGCTGCCCCCACCCCCACTTGTGCTCTCTCTTTCTCTCACAAATAAATAAATAAAATCTTAAATAAATAAATAAATACTAAACTAATACAAAAATAAAAAACATTAAGCACGGTTGGCTGGCTCAGTCGGTAGAGCCTGGGACTCTTGATCTCAGGGTCATGAGTTCGAGTCCTGCATTGGGTGTAAAGATTACTAAAAAAAAATAAATTAATTTAAAAAAACAAAATACAAAAACCATTGTCTACTATGTGCAACACACCAGGTGTTAAAGGTACAACAGTGGCTTCTTCTATAAATGTTAGGGAAACGGCTGGGGTCTTAAAGGCAGTGCTGAATGTGAATGTGAACAGCAGAATGGGATAGATAACAAAACAGATTACATAAGCTGAAAATCCATGCCTGATCTGTCTCTTGCAGTCTCCCACAAAACAGCAACGTGGGTTTTGCAAGAAACTACAAGCAAAAAGAGCCACCAAAGACGTTAAAAGAGTTGCATGTGGTGGGGAGGGTGTGAAGAGAACAGAGGCAGCACAGGGAGGGAGACAGGAGTGGGGGCTGGGGCCTCGGAGGGGAGGGCAGCGAAGGTTCCTGAAGGGGGGAAGCCTGGTTAACTCAGGTGGCCCCAAACAGAGAAGAGGAGTGGAGAGGCCTGGAAGACTACACAGGAGTACAGGCGACAGGCGCCTTTATTACCTTCTGCCTGGGATTTCTACATTTTCTGGATTTGCTATAACAGATATGCATTCATTTTATTTTATTTTATTTTTTAAGATTTCATTTAGTTGTCAGAGAGAGAACGCACAAGTGCACAAACAGGGGGAGCAGCAGGCAGAGGGAGAAGCAGGCTCCCCGCTGAGCAGGAAGCCCAATACGGGGCTCGATCCCAGGACCCTGGGATCATGACCTGAGCCAAAGGTAGATGCTCAACCAACTGAGCCGCCCAGGCACCACCCATTTTACAATTTTAAAAGTAAATAAATGAAAAAGGAAGCAAGGATAAATGGCACAGCTGCTGTGGAAGACAGTCTGGTGGTCACTCAAAAGTTTAAACACAGAACTGCCTTAAGCTCCACCAATCCACTCCTAGGTGTATATTCCAAAGAACGGAGAGCAGAGACCCCGAACGGATACTTGCACACCAATGCTCACAGCAGTACATTCGCAGTAGCCCGAGGGGGAAACAACCCAAGTCCCTTGACAGATGAATGGAGAAACAAAACGTGGCATATCCATGCAATGGAATTCCGTACAGCTCTAGACAGGAAGGACACACGGACACATGCTACAACATAAATGAGTCCTGAAAACATTATGCTACGTGAAAGAAGCCAGGCATGAAAGGGTAGATATTGTACAAGTCCGCTTATATGATCTAGCTGGAATAGGCCGATCCCTAGAGATCAATGCCAAAGAGGCTACCAAGTGGCTCTCCTGGAAGAGGGGCCTGTGGGACAAGGGACACTCAGTCACCACCAGGGGGCGAGATCTGCTTTCGTCCAGTTGTCTTACATTTGTTTTTGATGTTGGAAGTTAATTGGTCTTTCCCTTTCATGCACGCGCGCGCGCACACACACACACACACACACACACACACACACACACACAGAGCAGTCCGAGGAGACCCACAGATGGGCCTGGGGGGAGGAACAAGGGAGAGGTTCCACAGAGCTGGTCTCTGACCCCACTGGCCCTCCTGCGCCAGGCCTGCCCCTGACCCGCAGGGGCCTGAGCAGGTCACTCTGCCCCAAAGCCCTCCACAGCTGGCTCAGCAAACCTTTGCTCATGCCTGTGCTGGGGACCCAGGGCCTGACAGACAGCGGGAGGGGAGTTGGTGGGGATGTAGAACGGATGGATAAGTGAAAGAAGGGGGGAGCCCAACGGGCAGGGAGGGCCCACCCTCCACCACCCGCCCAGACTCTGAGATGCCACGTCCCCAGCAAGGCCACCAGGGAGGGCTTGGCAGCTCAGATCTGTGGGAAAATACCACCGACCCGAATGTGAGTGCCGGCTCTGCCCTCTCAGGTAGAACAAGGACAAACTCTTCCTCCCTACGTGGGTTGGTTTGAGGGGCTGGACACCAGGTACCAGAACTTCAGTCCAGGTCTCCGCCTGCCCAGTGTCGGCTCAGCTGGCCAGGCCCTGGGTTCCCAGGCGCTGAGCACACTGCTTGACTTTGTGGCAGCCCCCCCCTCTGTGCCAGGAGCCCTGGCTAGAGGAGCACCCATGCGGAGCCCATAAGCCGAGCCTCCCAGTCTGGCCACCCACCCGCCGGCCCACTGCCAGCACCTACTTGGCATAGGCCTTCTCCACCAGGGCACACCAGAACTCGTTGCGGGAGCTGGAGTGGCAGTAGATGAGCTGGTTGTTGACTGTGGGCAGCCGGTCGTCAATGACCACATCCACCCACTCCCCAAAGCGCCAGAAGTGGAAGTGGAAGATGCCTGCATAGGCATTGGGTTTCTCGGGGTCCCACTCCTGCTCCTTCCAGTCTGGGATGACCTGGATGGGGAGGGGAACAGGACAGGAACACAAGGCGGGTCACAGCTGGCTTCCTGAGGAAATGGGGGCGCATGCCTCGAGGGACTCAGAATGGAAAGGAATACTGGGTTCAATCCTCATCTCTGCCATGAACGAGCGTGGAACTGGAGCGAACGCTTCTCATCTCTGGGCCTCAGTTTCCCTTCTCTGTGGCAGTTAGGCTCAGGCTCCTGACAGCTGTCACTCTAAGATTCTGGGAGCTTCCTGCTCCCTTCCTCAGGCTTCCCTCTGCATCCTTCCCCCTCAGAAATACATCACATTCCTCCCATTTCCCATCTGACTTCGGGGCAGCCACACTGGCCCCTTCCCTACCCCTCTCTCCATCCTAACAGGCCAATCTGATCTCCTACATTCTGCTAAAATCCATCTCCGGTCTGTCCCCTGGCACCAGCCTGGCCCAGCCCCCATCTCCTCACCCCAGAATGCTGTAATAGCGTCAGCCCCACATGTACCCTCACCCCACAGAGCAGCACACCATGTCACTTCCCTGGGAAGTGAGGCCCAAACCTTTAATGTGTGCCTCCCTGCCACCAGCTCCCAAGCTGGCTTTTCTAGCCCCCTCACCCCCTGCTCCTTGCTCCAGGCTCTTTCTCTGCTCAGGAACTTTGGACCTGCTCTTTGCCTCTTCACCCAGCTGATTCTCATTTGCCCTTTAGGATATGCCTCCTCCTCCTGGAAGCCCTCCTTGACCCTTCAGACTAGGCCAGGACCCATGTCTGTCCAACTCATGTCCCCTGGCACTTCTCCTCAGGGACCATTACCACAATTATAATTAAACAAGTGTGTGTCACTGTGTTCAATTCTGTTATTATCCCTGGAATGTTAGCTCTCTGAGGGCAGGGATTCCTCAGGCCTGGTCACTGCTCTACACCCAGTACCTAATCTGGGGCCTGGCCCAGAGACAGAGCTTGACAAACAGGTGTTAAAATTCATAGGCATTGATTGCGTCTCTAACAGTATTATTAGAGCACCTCAGACGCACCAGGTGCCACGCCTGTGACTGCCACAGTTTATCTCAGTTTAATTCACACAATAACCCCATGCATAGATTACTATAATCCATCCCTCCTCTATAGCTAAAAAAAATCCTAAAGCTCAGAGAGGGCAAGCAACAGCCTCCTAGCAGGTGTCCTGAGAACTGGCTGCAGGCATCCCCCAAGCAGACGAGGAGAACCTGGGCAACAGGAGGCGGGGGCAGAGAAGGGAAAGCCCCTCACTCTAGAGTCAGAGTGACTTGCTGGCCCTTCCCAACATGGGACCAAGTGGGGCTGAACCTGGTGGGGCCACAGGCAGCTCCCTCAGGGAGAAAACCACCCTCAGGTATGAGGATGTGCACCCAGGCATCCAGGCTGAGAAGCCAGAGATGCATCAGGAGGCGTAAATCCCAAGGCCCAGACCAGCCCGAGCACAGATACTTCAGCCAAAAGCCATTCCCCAAACACCACACTCATTAAGAAGGCTTTTGTTTACATACCTCTTACCATCAACAAGGATGTCAGCAAAGACAAATGATCCCAGTGAGACACTAGAGACCAAGAAAATGAAAATGCTAACCACTGAGAGAGGGGCCATGCTGCCAGCAGCAGAGGCCTGCCCGGGGCCGGGCACAGACGCTCCTGCCCCTGCCCCCGCCCCTTAGCACTGCCTTTCAGGGCAATCCTGGGAAGCTGCTGGATTCACACACAGGGCTTCAGGGCCCAGCACAGCATCTGGAACCCAGCAAGGGCTGACACTGGCTGGTCCACTTTCAGTGACCTTTCTAAAACCCCCGGGCTGGCTTTCTAAAGCCCCAGCCCCTAGCACCCTCTGCCACTTTGCTTTTAGAGAAAAGGCTGTATCAGAAACAGGGCACATGTAGGGTGGGTTAACATGCCCACTGCACAGATGGGAAAGTTTAGGAATGGGGAGCTGCCCAAGGGCACAGAGAGATAGGGAGTCCGAGCTCAGCACACTGGGCTGGCCAGCGCACCCTCCTCCGCTCCTTCCTGCTCTGAAAGCTCTGGATTGCATGGGGACTGGGCAGGGAGGAAGAAGAGCCCTGATAGGGCCCTAGGAGGTACTGCTGGGGATGCAGGAGGATCATTAGCCAAACCCAGGGTGTGGCCCGACACCCTCTGTGGCTCAGGAAGCAGCTAATGAGGCTCTAGGGCCTGGAGATCCTGAGTCAGGGATCCCGATGGGCCTCAATTTTCCCTCCTACATCGTGGTTGGAGGGCCCAGCATGGCCAGCTTCTTACCCCACAACTCCTCTGCTGCCAGCAGGGTACTAGGTGAGGATGACACTGTCCAGGACAGTTTGTGTGCCTGCTCACACAGGCACACAAACTCAAACCTTCCCACACTACATCCAGTCATACCAGGAAGCAAAGAGGCAACCACAGACCCTCGGGCCACATCGAAGGATTCCAGAACCAACCCAAAGAGGCTCCTGCTGGGCAAAGATGGGCTAAGCTCAGCATCTGTAAGGATAATTACTGCAAAGGATGGCAACACATCAAATATATTCCAATCTATGAGACCACAACAATACTTAAAAAAACAATCAGTCACTACTGGAGGACAGCTGGGATTCAACTCATTTTTTTAAAACTGGAAAATTTAAAAAAAATAAAAAAAATAAAACTGGAAAATTAAGAGAAAGAATCAGGATTTATCCTGCCTTTTCTTTACAAACTGTACCAGCGGGTAACCAATAGCAGATGAAGGGAGGTTTGTATCTGGAGATGAGCTGCAGCTAAGATATGAGGAAGAGACCAGCATATCAGACTCTCGGTATTTTATGACCATCGACAAATAATGGATTTACCAACGGTCATAGATGGCTTCTAACATCACAAAAAAGAAAGACGACCAGATATCATGCACCCAGTGAGAGAAGTACACAATGTCTCCTATGAAGCAGTCATGCCAAAAAATTTGTATCTGAACCTTAGGAAGCCTCTGGAGGTAAGTCCGAGCTTACAGGAAATGCGTGGTACAGAGAACTCACGAACAAGCCATGAAAGCCAAGCCAACAAAATCCAGATCATTGGAAACACCAAGGGACGGACGGGTGTCTTCAGCAAAGAAATCCCAAGGAAACAAACAGTGAAAGGAAACTAACTATTCAAATTGTGGACCTTCAAACAAACTATAAAACATACACACTTTTATGGCAGAAATTGGAAACCAGAACTCTTATTGGATATGATGCTATAGGGGAACTACTGTGAAATGTGAAACGATTTTAGATATGTTATAGGATTCCGGTTATAGAATTTTGTTTTTTGTTTCCTTTTGGTTTTGATGGCTGCTTATTATCCAGAGATGTGTCCAGAAATATTTACAGATGAAATGACATGTTGCTGGAGGGCATAGTGGGGGATATGAGAAAACCAGATTGGCCTCGGTCGCTGAGTCGCTGCGGAGGGATGGCCTTAAGCCATCTCTCTCCTCCCATCCAGTCTCCAGTTGAGGCACCTCCCCGCAGCCACCAGCTCCCCACAGCCACCAGCTCCCCACAGCCACCAGCCTGGCATTCACAGCTGGGGCTCTGGACTGTCTCCGCCTCACCCTCCTCACCCTCCGACACGGCCTCCCACCTCAGGCCCCACGCAAACCTTCCGCCCTGACACTTTAGGCCACCTCGGCTCTGCACGTGTGGCTCCCTAGCGGGTACAGTCCCCTTCCTCGTCCCTCCAGGGCGAGGGGAGCAGCAGCTTGCAGGGCTCTCCTCCCGGGGGCAGTCCCTCCCCAGGCTCTTTCCCTGATCACTGAGGGGAGCTCCTGGAGGGAGGGGCTGAGCCCCCGCTCACACTCAGATCCCCCCCAGCACAGGGAGGCCGGCTCCACCCACGGCCAAGTCTTTCTGGAAGGAAAGTCTTCAAGTGCCAGCCGCCGCGGGGCCCCATCCGGCTGGCGACCTTGTCCCCACCACTGGACACATGGCCAACCACACTGCATGGCCCGGACCTAACTTCTGACCAGGCCGCCACTCTGAGCCTCAGCATGGCCATCTGCCTCCCCCTGCTCGGGGCCGCTGAGGCCAGGATGGACCGTGGCCTCGGGGTGCTGCCCTAGCTGTGGACGGCTGTGCACGTGTCAGGGGTCATCCCCGCTGCGGAACGTAGTACCCGTGTGTGCCCTCACGCAACAGTCTGCAAACCCTGGGGCTGGCAGGGAGCTCAGGTGACCTGGTCAGCCTCCCTCCCCAGGAGAAGCCTCAACAATTGCCCCCTGCAGATGGGAGAGGAGAGGCCTGAACAGTCGACACACTCGGGCTGAGCCCACAGCAAAGCCAGGACTGTGTGGGATTTAGAGGCCCCAGGCACCCACTGCAGAATCAGCCCAGAAACCTCAGGCTCTGGGGGGCCACTGGGGGCCCCGGTGCCTGGAGAGCTCCCAGCTCAAATCCTCCTGGGACTCTGAGCCAGTGGGACACACTCATGTAAGTGTGAAAGTGCATGAATGTCAGTGTCTGTGGGTGTGCACAACATGCATGTGTATGAGCATCAGTGTGTGTATGCACATGGGAATCGTGTACATGTCAGTGTGTGTAGGTGTGGGTCAGGGAAGGAGCTTTCCACAGATTTCTGCCTGGGACACCAGAGGGCCAGCTGGAAGCATTTCTGCAAAAGGCCAGCAGGGCTGGGGGCTGAAGGGCTGCAGGGGGGCGCTTTCCTGCATTACCCCGGAGGTGAGGTGAGTCCCCAAGCTAGAGTCCCTGGTTCCAAGCACATGAAGTTTTCAGTTCTTAGCTTCTGATTCCAAGAACTTCAAATTCCTGGGTTTCAGATGCTACAACGGGAAGAGGCCAGGAAGCCTGGTCCCCCCACCCCTACTCCACGCACCCTCAAGAGAACAGAGCCCCATCGCTCACCACTCAGAGAGCAGGACATGACGCACCTGCAGGGGCCTGGGGATTCCTGCTCACAGGGCACAGCCAGATGCTCAGAGACCCCTGCAGCAGGACCCCCGCTGTTGGGCACCCCAGTTACACCATGAGGGCTAAAGATCCCCTTAGCTAGGCCATTTTGAGCCTGGTGATGATGGCAGAGGAGAAGCCATGCCCTCTCCTCCACTCTCCAACCAGAGCCAGGCCTGGCCCCTGACACTGCCTGTTCCAGAAGCACTGGGCTGCTGTGCTACCTCAGGCAGCTCACTCCCCGCTCTGAATCCTGTGCTTCTAGTCTGTGAGTAGGTTCCTCTCAGAATAACTGAAAGTAAGACCATGTATCTGAGGTAACTGGGAGAGTCACAACGAGCAAATGGAGAGGGTGCTGAGGCTTTGAGTGCTTCACTAATGTTAACTCGCGTAACTTCTCACGGGCCCTGTGGGAGGCACCATCATTAGCCCCTGCCAACAGGCTCAGAGAGGCTGCCCTGGGCCACATGGGTGGTCAGTGGCAGGCCCCTCACCACCACACATGCTGCCTCCATCGGAGGCAGAAGCTCAGAAGATGACAGGTCTCTTCACTCTGGTTTCTTGTAGGTTCCATGGAAAATGGTCCTCCTTTCCCACTCCCTGCACTCCTCCTGGCCCAGTCTGGGCTGGAGAGCAGGGGTGGAAGGGCTGGGCTCTGTTACCCCCACCCCTTCCATAGGCATCTTCAGGACTGGATGGAGGCTGTGGCTGGAAGGGCAGGGCTTAGGGAAGGGAAACGAGGTGGCCGCAGCACTCTGGGGAGGGCTCTGGGGTGCAGGCTGGGGACGTGAGACCTGGCTGCACGGAGCATTTCAAAACAAGGGTCATTCCCAAGCAAAACCCCAAGCATGGCCCTTGAAGTAGGACCTGATCTTGGTCACCAGGAAAAAGCTGGCCTTACTCGGGCCTGGGCCCTCAGGACAGGTGGGACACTGCCCCTGCTCATCCCAGGGGGCCACAGATCCAAAGCCTGGTTCCCGCCCCCCCACTCCTTTGGTCCTTCCACACTCCACACCTTAGGCAGATAGCCTCATCCTCTGTCCAAAAACTGAGTGAGCTCCAGAGGGATGACAAGGGGAAAGAGCTCTAAGAAGAGTCTAGTGGGGCACGAAGGTGATGTGGCAACATCAGTCTTGCCTGGTCTACGGGGCTGGGGCTGCCCTAGGACGTGCATTAAGTTGGTGACAGAAGCTAAGAGAAACCCGGGTATAGGCCTAGCCTTACCTCACCCCTCCACTCCCCTGTCCCATCCACCTCCTGCCCAGCCACCCTACAAGGGAGGGAGACCTGAGACTGCAGTACCTCCTCACCCTTCCCCTTGGGGCTCCACCTGCGGAGGACCAGATGGCATCTCCCTGTGGCCTCGGGCATGGCTCCACACTCCATACACAGGCTGGTCTGGGGGCCACTGGGGAAAAAACTGTCAGGGGTGTTAGTACCCAGATTGGATGTTAAGAGACCTGGTTCTAAACTCCATCCTGGAGGACGCCGGGGTGGCTCAGTGGTTGAGCCTTTGCCTTCGGCTCAGGGCATGATCCCATAGTCCCAGGATCGAGTCCCACGTCAGGCTCCCTGAATGGAGCCTGCTTCTCCCTCTGCCTCTCTCTCATGAATAAATAAATAAAATCTAAATAAATAAATAAACAAACAAACAAACAAACTAAACTCCATCCTGATATCTGGACCATGAGCCTGTCTTGACTGCTCCAGGCCTCATCTTTGAAAGCAGCCAGGGGGGCAGGGATGCAGGAGAAGGCCCAGGAGGGGTATGCTCAGGGCTCCGAGGGGATTAGAGAAAACTCCTGAAGGAGCAAGGGTGGCTCACAGTGAGAGACTGCACACCACGAGGCGGGGGCACAGAGGTTTTATTGGGAAGACGCAATGCATGGGGTAGATGTGGTGGCGCAGGGTGGAGATACAGGCAGTCTGCACCAAGAGGGTCCCCAGAGCCACAGGGAGAGGTCTAGTAGAGAGGCGAAGGGCCGGTCCAACTCCAGGGGTCTGGGCTCCCCTCATTGTCAGCAGAGAAGGTAGGCAGGCAACACTGGGACCTCAAGCCCATCCCAGAAACAGGCCCCAGAGCTGAGAGTCAGAAAGGACCACAGCCAATCCCCACCTAAAAAATCTCGACTCCAGCAGCCCACTCCTGTTCTCATGCCTTCAGGGTGGGGGCTCACCCCCCCAGCAGCTCCAGCCCCTGGGGATAGCCCCCACCCTCTGTCTCTCAGCATGTCTGTTCACAGGAGCCTGCGGCCCTCAATGGCTCTGCTTTGCGAGGAGAATGTCCTGGGCCTCTTCCTGACAAAAGCAACAGGGCTGGCCTAAAGACGGGGTGTTGGGGGCACTTCCTGAAGCTCATGCCAGGCAGGTCAGGGCCCTCCTCCTCCCATCAAAAGAGACTCACCTGGCCTGTGCCTTCAGGCGCTGGAAAAACCTGACATCCCAGCAGGGACACCTGAGGCCCCAAGGAATCTACTGTCTCCAGCTCCAGGGCTCTGGATCCCTCTACCCAGCTTTCCCCAGGCAGAGGGAAACCCCTTCACTATGCTCTTCCCTGTTTCGCTGTATGAACTTCAAAGGCTCTCAGCTCAGGAGGACCTCCTCCCCAAGGCCATCCTGACCAAGCCCCTACTTAGGGTCACCCATGAACCAGCCGGGCAGCTACATAATAGATCATTTAAAATCAGACTTGCTCACGGGGCAGGTACAGACTCTAGAACAGCCGCATGAACACAGGGCTCTCTGTCAATATATATGCACACGTATAGAGAGATACATCTCTATGTAACTGTTTACATGTTCCTTCCTCTCTGTCACTTCTTCCTCCTGAAATCATTCTCAGAGCAAGAGTTGGCAAGCACAGCCTCCAGCCTGCCAGCCACTCCCCACTGCCCGATTCAACCCCTGTGGCTGCCTGAAGTCCTGAGGCCCCTGGGGCACCATGGGGCCACTCCAGGCCCGGCCGGGAGCAGAGCCTTCCTGGGTTCTCAGGCTCACTGTTCACCTCAAGACTTCAGCAAAGGGCGCTGTGGCCAGGAGGGCAGTAAATGCCTATTTGTGGACTCCCCAGGAGGCTGCTCTGTTGTCCGTATCTCTGTCTCCGGAGGAAACCCAATGGCTGGTGCTTTGAATGTCTCTTTCTCTGTGTCTGTCTCTCTTGGTCTCTTTGAGTCTATCTCTGGACAAGCAGAGAGAAGGCCGATGCCCCTGGCTCCTTCATCTTCCCATATGAGCTTCGACCAGGGCTCCACGGTCTCCAGCAGAAGCAGCTTCTAGACTACAGGGCCTCTGCACATCCCTCCCGTGAGCAGGAGCGCCAGCACCGAGGAAAGGAGGAGAAGAAGGATGGAGGCTCGGGGGGTCCCGGGCAAGCTGAGTACAGGCCAGCAGCTTGAAGGATGTCCACACACACACACACACACACACACACACACACACCTGGAGGAACAGGGCGCTGGGGCAGGGGACGAGGCGGGCGGGCACGGGGAGGGGGCGGCAGCGAGCACCTGCCATCAGAGCTGGTTAAAGACCACAGACGCCTTGAGGTTAGCAGGCTCCAGGCCCTCGCCGAAGGTGATGAGGAAGTACATGACCTTGCGGATCTTGGCCAGGTCGGACAGGCGCTCCCCGAACTCCAGGGCATCGGCCTCGTTCCAATCCATGGCCTCGGCGTCCTCCTTGCGCCAGAAGATGGCAGCGGGGTCCAGCAGCTGGCGCGTCATGAGGTTGGTGAGGTCGGGCGTCCAGTTCTGCGAGGTGCCTGTGATGGTGACCTTGCCTGGCTTGTCCAGCTCCACGTCCCAGCGCTCGAACTGCAGCTTCTGCTGCTGGACGAAGTCCAGGCGGTACACGGCCTCGGCCGGCCGCAGCAGCTTCTCCCCGTCCTGGCGCTTCTCCCCGCGCTGCTTCAGGCTCTCCACGCGCAGCCGCATCTGCTTGGTCAGGTCGTGGTCCAGGACCAGGGGCATGCTGAGCTGCGGCTGCTTCGGCCCGTCCTCCGCCATGCCCAGGTGCTGCTGCGCCGCTGCCTGCAGCCCGGTGTGTGTGCCAGGGCCTGGCCACGGGGCGAGAGGCCACCAAGGACGCCCCGCCTTCCTGGCCCCTCCCTTCCTGGCCACCGGCTCTCCCCAGCCCTGCCCAGTCCTCAAGAAGGGGGTGGGAGGCCCCAAATGCCTCCTCTCTACTCCTCCGACTGGCAGCAACGGAGGCACTGCAGGCGGGCAGGAGGGTGACAGGCTCCTCGGGGACACTCTGCTGATGTCAACTGCTGTGGTAACCGCCCTGACTACCTGACTGCCTGACTACCACGGAAGGGCTTGTTTGTGAAGAGGGGAAGCTGCCCGGGGCAGCAGAAGGGGAGTCAGTGGAAGAGCTGAACTATCTGAGTGTATCTGGGAGTGGGAGATGAAGCTGCCATGACACGCCACACACAGAAAAGAGGACAGAGGCACAGGTCAAAGCGTAACAACTGAAAACGATCTGAAGGGTCTAGTGGACCACAAGCACAGTCAACTGTTAGATGGAGGCTAAATCAGTCAGTGGGATCTTGGGCTACCTCAGGGGGGGTCACCAATGGGAACAGAGCATCCCGTCCTGTGAAGGTTACACCTCAAGTCCTGACTGAGGTCAGTTCTGGGGGGTCACTCATGGCAATCCCCCAAGGGCATTCAAGAGGATTAGAGATGTCAAGCTGCCTGACCCTCCCAGAACCTTTCACTTTGTAGCTGCAGGGGCAGAGGAGAGGAGAACATGGCTGAGGAATTACTGTTAAATTAACTCAGCATTAGGGCAGCCCTGGTGGCGCAGCGGTTTAGTGCCGCCTGCAGCCCAGGGCGTGATCCTGGAGACCCTGGATCGAGTCCCGCGTCAGGCTCCCTGCATGGAGCCTGCTTCTCCCTCTGCCTGTGTCTCTGCCTCTCTGTGTGTCTGTGTGTCTCTATGAATAAATAAATAAAATTTAAAAAAAAATTAACTCAGCATTAGAACAGAGCTTGCCATATAGGAGGCCCTCAGAAGATGCCTGTTGAATGAATGCAAGAGGCAGGTGTATGTCAAAGCACAGGATGAGGGGGCACCTGGGTGGCTCAGTTGGTTGAGTGTCTGCCTTTGGCTCAGGTCATGATCTCAGGATCCTGAGATGGAGCCCTACATCGGGCTCCCTGCTCAGTGGGGAGCCTGCTTCTCCTCTACCTCTGCCACACTCCCTGTTCAAGCTTCTCTCCCCCTCTCTCTCTCCCAAATAAATACATAAAATCTTTATTTAAAAAAAAGTGCAGGATAAGGGAGACCCCTGGAAGGTGAGGTCAGGGAAACTGGTCTTACAGTGGAACGACTGCAGGAAAGGCAGATGTAGGCGCAGGCTGTGGCCACCATGGAAGCAGGAGGCCGAGGCAGCTGATGGTAAAGGCTAATGGAGACCCAAACAGGAACAGAGGCCAGGATGATGAGGGGAGGATGTCAGCCACAGGGGCATGGTCATCCCTGGGATACAGCTGCACCAGGGGTGGAAAAGGCAGGGCAGTTGGAGGGGCCAAGCCCCTGGTGCCTGGGTGGGAGCGAGTTCACAGGGGGTGGCAATAAAGTGGACTGGGGGGGGACATCATGGGAAGCCAATGGCATGAGCCCGTGGGGGTCTCCAAGTAGAGGGTGTGGTCCAGAAGCAGCCCAAAGGGAAGCGAGAACACCTGCCCCATCTCTGGATCCACAGGACACTTGGGGAGGCATTCGGTTTCTACCCATGGGGACATCCAGGGGCTGTATGACCCTGGGGAGAGCCTGGGTTCAGCGTGGGCCATTGCCAACCTGCAGGAGGAGGCTGAGGGTGGACGTCACCCAGGGCCTGGGGCTCAGGTAGGCAGGGCAGGAGAGGCCCGAGGGGGCAGGAGGCTGCAGGAGGGGCTGGGCCCACTGCCACCCACAGCTCTCCTCTTGGCCACTGGACACTTTGGGAAGACCCACTAAAGCCTGGCGTAGGAATGAATAGAGAAGAGCAGGTCCCAAACTTGCATATGTGATTGCAACACTGTACTGAAACGCAAAGCAAACGCCTCTTTAGCCCCAACTGGAAAAACAGTCTAGAAAGGTGTGCTAGAGCACACCGTAACACTGGTTGTTTCCAGCTAAAGAAAGCCTGACGTGACATAGTATCGTCCCCATCGTGGGTCCCCGGTGTCTGGAATGGTGCCACGCACAGCTGGTGCTCAGGGCTGGGGCAGAATGCACTGCTCTGTAGCTAACAGACAGGAACCATCTTAAATGAAACTGGTGACAGAGCATGAGACACCTAACTCTGGGAAATGACCAAGGGGTGGTGGAAGGGGAGGCGGGCAGGGGGACGGGGTGACTGGATGGCACGCACTGAGGGGGGCACTTGACGGGATGAGCACTGGGTGTTATGCTATATGTTGGCAAAGCGAACTCCAATTTTAAAAAAATAGTTAAAAAAAAAAAAAAAAGAGAAAGAGCCTGAGCCCTGCCACCGGGTGCCCCCCCAGGCCCAGCCACCCCCAACACTGCCTCTCAGACAGCCTGGCACTCACTTCCGCTCTGCTCCCCTCCTGTGCTCGGCCGGGGCGCCCAGGGCTCGGAGCAGGGATCTGCCTCGGCGGCAGGTGAGCGCACAGTGGCCCTCGGGTCTGGCTTGGGCCGGCCAGGCCTGATGGTGAATGCTCCACCTCACTGTCACGTCCTGATTTCTGGTCCACAAAACTCAGTCACCTGAAGTCCACGGTCCCGCCCTCAGAGAAGGCACAGTCAGGATGGGGAGACCCTAATGGCCTACCAGGGGTCCCACAGGAGGCAGGTGCCCACGCCAAGAGATGTCTGGTAGAACAGAGAAACAGGTGGGGAACACAGAGGTGGGGCGGGAGAGGGATTTGACACAAGTCTATTGCCACTAAATGCCACAGGCTTGCCCTCCCCGACCACAGGCTCCGTTCATCCTCCTACAGCTCTGGGGATCAGAAGTCAGGTCTACACCACGGCCAGGAGAAGGAACCCAACCTGCCCAGTGTCACACAACAAGGGGCCTGGGCCAGAATCAAACCTAGATCTGGCTGGTTTCAAATCCTATGCCCATCAACCCCAGGCTGCATCAAGAACTAGAGGGAAAGGGGTGGCTTCCTGGAGGAGGGGGTATGTGTGCCGAGGGCACCATGCACCAGTATCCTGAGGTTCAGCATCCCTGGAGTAAGGTCGGAGGTGGGTGGGCGGGGGCACAGCTCAGGCTGAGCACCCCTGCTCTGTGGAGAAAACAGGGCGGGGCAGGGGAGGCCCTGCAGGGCAACAGGCCCTAAGTGAGGGGTGACAACAAATAGGGCCCAGTCAGCAGGGACAGGAAGGGAGAGGAGGCACAGTAACAAGCTCCCCAGGGCATTCTACCTCCTTCTAGAACCCAGCAGCTCCGGGAGGCAGGGTGCAATTAGCCAAGAGTAACTTGCTCTGCTCAGGCCTCCTGGGGACCCAGGCTCCCGGAGATCAGCCTCCAGGCCCTTGAAACTTCCAGACCAGTCAGACCAGGTGCCCTGACATCCTGCAGGGACATCCTTGAGCCCAGGGACAAATAAACCCAGATCTGCCACTGCGTCAGCGACAGTCCTCCTGCCGGCGGGTCATGGACCCCTTCTTCCACTCACCAGATGGGGAGCTGCAGCAGGGCACTGCCTAAGGCCAGGCCTGGGACAGGACACTCAGCAGGCAGGGGCTCCTTCCCACAGATGACGGGAGAGCCCAACCCCAGGAGGGGACATGCTGGGCCAGGCTCTGGCCCCACTGAAGGCCCCAAGAGGCATAGGGTAGGAGGGCCAGGCCAGGGTGGCGCTACTGGCCAGGAGCTGGGCCCAACAATTTGGGGAGGTGCTCTGTCCTCGAAACTTTCTTAAACCTTCTCTGTGCCAGGATCCTGCTGGGCTCAGTGGGAAGACAGAGTTGGGCCAGCTTTGCCCAAGGGGAGCTCACCTCACAAAGAGAGACCACAGGTAAATGGGGGAAGGGTGGGAAGGACAGGGCCAGCTCCACAGGATTCCTGTGTGCCACTGTCTGCCCCAGACAGAGCCCCGACTTAGCTGGGGATGGGAACAAAGACAGGGGGACCTTGTTTTGGGCTCAGAGAAGGGGGCTGAAGCCTGGAGACAGGGGGGCGAGGACACCCCCACATCCAGAGAATAGCACTGGCCCCACCCCTCCCTGGCCCTCGAAGCCCATGAATGAAATGATCCCATGTGCGGCTCTCTGAGGCCCTTCCAGCCTGGACAGCCTACAACCACCCCCGTCTACAGGCCACAGCAGTGATCTTTGCTGAGGGCCCTCCAGCACCTACGTCCCCACAGGACCATCAGCAGCCAGACCCCAGGGATACTCACCCTGGGGTGGCTTTGAAAGGTCACACCCCTGCTCAGAAGACCGGAGAGTAGGGCACCTAGCACAGTTCCAGCCTCGGCTAAGGGCACAGCTCCCTCTGATGGCTAAGGGATGCTTCCTGCTTGCCTGGGAATACTCATTATGTTCTATGAATATTAATTATCATTAACCGGTAATGCAGCCACCATTCACTGAGCTCTGCATTGCACAAGGCCCTTCGAGAATAGTGTCTTGTTTTACCCTAACAAAATCCCTGAGAGGGAGCTACCCTCCTACCCCGGTTTTTCAGATGGGTAACCAGAGCGAATTATAAAAGCTACCAAATAGTGAGGCAGAGCCTTCAACCTAAGCCATGAGGCTGAGATGCCCAGAGTCTGTAGACCCTGCCGCTAGCTCGTCACGGGAAGAGCAGGGGACAATGACTGGTATCTGCCAGCACAGGAACCCAGCAGTCCTGACAGATGACTCTTTGGAGACCAGCAGGCCGGCCTCTCCTCCAACCTCCCCGCCTCCCCAGGAGGGGAGCTCTGTGTGGGATTAAAGGGCTGCACCACGGGTGTCGCCACAGGAGGGCGGAGTGTTGCGACCAGAACCAGTTCTTTCCAACCTAAAGCCTTGGCGCTGGTCCAGAACATTAGCCCTGGGAACCCCCAATCATGAAACAAAACAAAACCGGCTGGGCCACTTCCGCTGAACAAGTGATAAAACTGAGGCCAAGCTAAGGACAAGGCCTGGCTAAGTCTATACAGCAAGTACTGCCAGGTCTCCTGAGCCCCAATTAATGGTGTCTTCACACTGCATGGTTCAGGCAGCTTCCACATGTCACAGGTACCTCTTCTGCCAAGTGGCTCCAGGGATACTGTGTGTCCCCAGTATTCAGGAGGGGACACATCAGAATCCCCTTGGGAGCTATGCACATGCCCAGCACCCAGCCCTGGAGATGCTAAACTGGCAGCTCAGGGAGGGGAGCAATTCTGCTGCCCAGCCAGTGCGGGGAGCCCTTGTGTCGCCCCCCCCCACCCCTGCACAGGTGTTCATAAAGCCATATCTGCAAGTTCAGGCTGCACCCTCCAGCCCCCGGCCAGCAGCGAGGGTCCCACCGGGACTCACCTTTTGCCACAGTGACTCCCGGGAGGCGAGCGAAGAGCAGGCCGCCACGAACCAACAGTTGCCCACTTGGCCCTGGTGCAGGTCATGGGAGCTAATGCCATCCACAAAGAGGCGGGGGTCCTCACATATGTCCTGCGGAGAAGCCGAGAGGAACCTCACTGTCAGCGTGCAGATTCTCCCCCTGCAGGCTGCCCACCTCCCATGAGGCCAGTCGGTTTCTCCAAACCCAGCTCCCTGCCAGGTGCTGCCTGCCAGAGGGCCCCGCTCCCTTCCCCTGAAGAGTCATTCTGCCACAGTTTCCATGATGAACAGATGCTATGGAAGGGCTTGGGGGACTGGCCCCGGGCCACCCCCTTCCTCCTGCCCTCTGTGGTATTCCCCAACCAGCAAAAGGTCAGTGCCCATCAACCTCCAGCAGCAGTAGCAGCCCCGCAGTGCCCACACCAGCCCCCTTCAGGGGTCCCCAGTCACAAGGGGTAGGGGGCAGGGAGGAAAGAAAGAACAGTCACAGGTGATGAATGAGTGGCAAAGGCAGGGGAGAAGCAGGGAGCTGACCATGCTGGGCCCTGAGGAGGCACATCCTCAGGCTGTCTCATTGGACCCTCGACCCACTTGAGGTGTGTGGGGTTGTTGTTCCATTTTACAGATAAGCCATGAAGGTTCAGAGAAGGGCAGTGACTCATGAGGGGCACACAGCAAGCAAGGCTGAGCAGAGCTCCCAGAGTGCCTCTTGTGTGGCCCATGGGGACAGTGGGGATAGGACTGGGCATAAGGGAAGCTCCTTTCCTCCTTTCTAGTCCGGGCTTCTGCCGGAGGTGTGCATGTGTCCACCCATGTCCCGAAGCATCTACATCCACAGAGCTGAGAGGGAGGCTGCACCCCGAGGTGGAAGGTGGTAAGCACTGAGACAGGCCTTCCAGGTGCCATGAGCCATCCTCACCAGGATCCTGACAGGTGGGCACTGTGCCCACTGTACAGAGGAGCAAACTGAGGCCCAGAGAGGCTGAGCAACCCACCTCCCACACAGCTGGGTCTGCCTCCCCATCAGCTGGTCCCACCACAAAGAGCTCCTGAGGTCCTACCCCAGGCAACCAAGTAGAAGGTAGTAGAGTCAGGAAGATGGAATTTGAATTAGTCCCATTTCCCATTTATGGGCTGTACAACTTCAGGCCAATGGCTCAACCCCTCTCAGCCTCCCCGTCCCTACCTGTGCCAGGGAGGCAGGTCATTATCCCTGCAGGGCTGTGTAAGGACTCAGATTATGGAAGCAGGGCACTCAGCAGGGAAACCATGGCAAAGGGCTGTGGGCTCTCACTAAGGCGTCTGGGACTCCTGTTGCCACCTGTGCCTGGGAAAACCAGTGTTGGAGGGGGCCAGACCGAAGGCCATCGCTCCCGGGAGGGCATGAATGGCTCCAGATGGGACTTGGGTGTGGCCCAGAGCCAAGCCACAAGGTGGCTTCCCGTAGCCGTAGCTGACTGTGGCGTGCCCCAGGTCTGAGTAATATGGCCCCAGGTCACAGGAACCCAGCGAGGCTGGAGACACTGAGAGGCCTTCGCGCTATCAGGAAGTAGGAAGGGAAGAAGCCGGCCTCCCTCCCTCCCGCCCTCCTTATCTTCTCTCCCAGGCCCTGGCCCACACGCAGACCAGCACCCAGACCAGCACTGGAGCCAAAGAGAACCATGACTTGACATCTGCCTCCCTAGAAGGACAGGCAGGGCGGGAGTGGAGGGGCGCTGTGTATCTGGAGAACCCCAGCTGCACCCCCACCATGGGAGGAGAGGCAGCCACCACCAGGGCCCGCAGAGGTGACCCCCTAGTACCCCACCCCTTCAGATCTTCCCAGCCAAGGTGCTGGAGACCCATGAAGGTCCACTGGTCCACAGAGGAGGATGCTGAGGCCCAGGAGGAGGCAGTGACACCCAAGGTCACATGGTCAATAGGATAGAACCCGGGTCTGCCGGGCTCCCTGACTACGGCTCTCCTCCTCCCTGCCGAGCAGGCCCTCTCAGGGCAGACCTATGGGGCAGGTCCGACCATTCCAGCCTGGCCCTGCCACGTAGAACAGGACACCAGCACCAGACACTTCTCTGGCCCCCAAAGAGAAACTGAGCTTAGGAGTCAGGAGTCCCAGGGTCCAGACTTGGCACTGCCCCATGGGGATGCAGGTGCCTCCAGCCAGAGACTGAGCAGAGAGGAGGTGGCAGTCTGGGGCGTATTGCCACTGCCAGCAGAGACAATGTCTGCCAGCACTGAGGTTGGTGGGACCTGGGCCTACCCCAGAGTCCAGCAGCCACCCAGGGACACCCTGAATGGAACAGTCACAAGAACAGCTCATAGAGTGGGCACGTGCTGTGTGCCCAGCTCTGTGCAAAACCACCCTGGGAGGTGGGTACTGTTGGCCTCCTCACTTTACAGATGAGGAAAGGCATACAGAGGTTAAGGCACAGAGAGGTTAAGACATTTGCCCAGGGCCACAGAGGAAGAGGTGAAGTGAGATTCAAATTCAGGCAGTCAGCCCCACAGCATCCAGGTGGGCCAGGACTTGTAAGTGATGAAGTCACCCTTCTTTCCTCCAACCCCCCTGCACCTGTCCTCAGCCCAGCTTAGGGGTGTTCGCTACACAGCAACAAGACTGAGGAGTCAGGGGCAGCCCAGACCCTCACCTACCATTAGGGCCAGGATCTCAAGACCTGCGTTTGTCCTTCCATCATCATCTTTCCTGGGCTATCGAGTAGGCACAGAGCACAGAGCTAATCAGGGAAGTTCCCAGCCTGAGGGCACAGCCCTTGAGGAGGAAGAGCCTGACTGTGATCCTCCATGTGAGCACAGCTATGACAGCAGGAAGCCAGGGAGAGATCAGAGGGGGCTGCCTGGAGGTAATGACGCCAACAGAGCAGGCCTGGAGAGAGCCGGTGGGGAGGGAGGTCTCCAGAAAGAATGGGGACGCCAAATTTCACCTGAAGAGGGATCCAGCCACAGTACTGAGACACATGCCACCTCTGACTCCCCTGGGCTCCTGGCCACCTGTGATCCCTTCCACCTCTGTCCACATTACGGTCACCCCCGTCACAGGGCCCAGGCCCGACTCTGCCCACTACCAGTGTTGGGAGCAGGACTTGGCAGGTTCTGTGAGGCTGTGGGCTGGACCCCTGGGAGCAAGGGAGGGCCAAGTGGCATGCAGGATTGGGCCGGACAAGTATCTATCTGCTGTGAGCCCTGGACCAAGCCCCACCCCAGGGCTGGGAGGTGACAGCTCTTCTGCTCCACGTACCTCTCTCTGGGGCACGGCCTTCTACACCTGCTATCACCTCTCACCCCTCAGTCCCTCAGCCCGTCAGACCAGCTCCACCAGACACAGGACATAGCCCAGAACTATCTCCCTCCGGAGCACAACAAGAATTTCAGGTTTGCAGGCCCAGTGTACAAACAGGCATGCAGCAGGACAGTGGATCCAGGGCACCGTCTGCCCTCCTCTCCCATCCTGCTTGTCCGTCACCTCCCTCCTGGAATCTAAGACCACGGCAGGAATCGACCACCCACTGGCAAAAGGCCCAGAAAGAAGGCAATCCCTTTGCCAGAGACAGGAAAAAAGGGCAGGTTCTTGGGACTAATGGCCACCCCGTGCTCCCTGTCTCGTCCCGCAGCAATCCCGGCCTGCAAGGCGACCTGAGCATGTGCCCAGAAGGGAACCCCCTGCTGGAGGGCAGTGGGTACCCTGTCCCCACAGAGATGCAAAGGGGTCCCTGCCAAGGCCTGGGCTTGAGAGAGGAGGAAGCCCCTCATGTATCCACACTGTCAGGAGTCCCTGAGTCATGCTGACAACCTCCTTCTCTTATCTCTCAGGCCAGCAGGCATTTACCAAACTGGAAAAACAGAAAAACAAAGAACCCAGAGGAAGGAGGAGGGTGTGGGCCTAGGGCAGGTGCCGTGCCCTGGGTGGGGAAGGAGGTGGACGAGGCCTGGCCCCACCCACAGTCCACAAGAGATGAATCTCTCCAGGCAGGGCCAGCTCCAGGTCCCCACCACAGGGCTCACAGGGAGTGGGTGGGCAAGAGAGTGAGCCGGTCTGTCATCTGCCTCCCATAGGTGACGCCACAGACACCTCAAGTCATTTCAACCTCCAGAAACGATGGTCAGCAAGAGCTAGCCTCCCCATTCACCGATGAAGCCACTGAGGCCAGGGGGCTGCAGCTTGTTCCAGGTCACGCCTCCGCAGACCCTCCTGTGAGGTAGGGGCGAGTCCATCTGGCTCAAAACCAGCCTTGTCATTCCATTTTGGGAGAAAGCCAAAGGGAGGCCAGCAGGGAGAGAGGCCCAGGAGGAGAGCCTCAAGAACAGAGAGGCCACGATACTGACCAATTTGATGAGAGGGGCTGAAGTTGGGATGGAAATGAAGGTGGCCTTCTCGAGGGCATGACAGGAAAGAGCTTTTTGCTCTATTTATAAACAGGCAGGTCACAGGCCCCAGGAAGGACTCCATAGAAACGCAGCTGCCTCAGGACAAAGTTCCATTTCACTGGCCAAGGACCAAGCAGCTGGGAGTTAATGGTCACCTGCTGGGCTGGCCTCGCCCCACCCACCTGAGGCAAACTGGGCTGACTTCCTGCTCCACCAGCTGCCCCCCACACCCAGAACCCTCCCATCCTGACAGCGGAGTGAGGGCCCGTCCTGTACACGAGCCCCATACCACCCAGCAAGCACTGCGTCCACATCCACCCACCATCACACCCTGCTCTGCACTGTCACCTCCTTACCCCACCCCACCATGTGGCCTGGCTTTGAACTGCCTCCCGAACCCAGAACTGACCCCTCTCTGCCACCCCTGGGCTGCAATCAGACATCTCCCTGTCAATACCAATCACCACAAGCTGTCTGTCACCCGCCTTCACATGCAGGGCAGGGGCAGCTCTGCTCTTCCTCTTCCAGGGTCCAGAAAGCACCAGACACCACAACCCAGTGAGGAAGGCCGTGAGGGAGGGGGCAACATGGCAGGACTCTCGAATTGGCAAGGAAAGAAAGGGGCCCAGAGAGGGCAGGTGACTCCACCAGGATCACACAGCAGGGAGATACTGAGTCCAGGCAGGGGGGTGTTTCCTCCTCTCACCACACAAAACCCAACCTTCCCCAGCCATGCCTCGCCAGCCTCCTTCCAGAGCCACAGATCTAAAAGGGTGCTGGCAAGAGGGCAGGACAAGGGCAGCAAGGGGGTGGAGTGAGCAGGAGGCAGAGAGCTCGAGTGTCTCCCCCACCACGCACACACCCAAGGCCTCACAAAGGCCCTTTGAGGCTGGCCTCCTTCCCCACCCGCCAGACAAAGGAGACAGAGGAAGGCGTGGGGGCAGGGGGCCTGAGAGGCAGGAATCTATCTGGTGGCCAGGCCAGGAGGCTCCTGGGAGTTCCGGAGAATTGAGCTGTCGGGCAGAGGGCCAGGGCAGGCAGGACTCCGGGGTCCCGGCCTGGCTCAGTTACCGGCTCCCTCGGCCATCGGGGCCTGCGCCTTCCCCTCCTTGGCCTCAGCTTCTCTGCCTCTCAAGTACCTCGGTCCAAGGAAATACACAGGACTGAGTTGGAAGGGACTAGGATCATGGCCTAGGAGAGGAACAAGAAAACTGAATCCCAAATGTCTAGGAAGCTGCAGGGAACTCCACAAAACACAAATCTGCCCATCACACCCTGCCGATAGCCTCATGCCCCCTGCCCTGGGGCTCCCACTGCCCCAGGTACACAAGCCCCACCAACCCCAGGACCCAGGCTCCCTCACTCCCTATGCTCCCTCCAGGTCCCAAAGTCTCCTGCCTTTTCCACACAGTGCCTCCTCCCCCTTCGACCCTGAGATGCCTCCTCTGACTATTGGGTGGCAGGGCACAGCACAGTGCCCAGCACCAGCATCCCTCCTGTGTGATCAACTCAGCACCAGCAGCACCCGGTCACCCAGGTCCTGGCGGCACCCACTCTCACACTTGGGAATTGGGGTTAAAGAAGATGGAATCATATCACGAGGCTGAACAACTCTGTTTAACACAGTCTAGCCTTGGCAACCAAGGCCGAGATTGTGGGGCCAAGGGGGCGGGGGTGGGGGGGAAGCAGCCAGAGAAATGTCATGGAGTCACCATTCTCAAGAGTAATGGTGACACTGCCTGTACTGGGTGCCAGGCGTGCTGCCAGCCTTGTTCACATGCCATCTCTTTTAATGCTCCCAACAACCCTATAAGGCACTATTATTTATTACTACTATTATTATTATCGATTAACTATCATAAATACTTTTCATTTGCAGCAAATGACTATTTCAAAACCATTATGATAACGTGTAAGCAAACTGCTTATGCTTAAATGTCACTCTACATTTCAGTACAGTAAAACATTTGCCTCGTTTTTAGCCCAAAACCACTCAGGGAGAAGGGTGGCAGGGCAGAGGGCCCCATTTTCCCCATGAGGAAGTTGAGGCCCAGGCAGAGGGCAAGATCCTGGCCGGGCAGGGGTGGCCACAGGATGAGGGCCCCTTCTCTGGCTCCCTATCCAGGGGGACCCCCCCACCCCCGAGCAGCCGCCCAGGGCCTCAGGATGACCAGCCACCGCCCTGTCCCCTGCAAACTGAGTGGGTCTGGACCTGCTCGCCTCAGCTCCCCTTGTGACCCGACACTGACCTTGGGCCGCTTCCACCTGACAGTGGGCCCCGGGGTGCCCTGATAGTACAGCGAGTCATCGGTGGCCGGGAAGTTGGGATCCTCGAAGAGCACCTTCCGGCGCAGACAGGCCCGCTTCAGGGCGGAGTAGTTCTGGTCTTCGTAGGCCTTCACACACGAGAACATGGTGGCGGCTGCCCCCGCAGGGGAGAGCTAGGCGGGGACGCAGGTGGCTCCTGGGGCACCTGGGGGCACAGGAAGGTGAGAAGATCATCACTTAACTGCGGCCTACTGAGCCAGGTGACCCATGGGTGCCCCTGCCCGGCAGCCCTGTGAAGTGGCCACCCTCACCCTGCCCCAGGCCAGGAATTGAGGCTCAGAGGCGCAGCTGCTCCATGCACGGCAAGGACGGGAACCAACTGACCTGACTTTGCACCCCGAACTCTCTCATTTCTGATGCTCGGAGGCGATGCCAGCCCGCAGGCCAAGAGGCCAAGGGCTCAACCACAAGGCGCTCAGGGCTGCCTGGCTGCACCCGCCCACCCCATCCTTCATCACCAGCCTTCCCTAGACCCCCTAGCACGAGGTCAGACTCGCAGCCCACTCAGCAGCTCCCTGGCTGGTGCCACGCGCGTCCAAGCTTCTTTCCTCCACACTCTCCCCACTTAATCGGAAAGCACATTTCAGCCCCGTGTGGAGGGCGCCCCCCTTTGGCCATCGTTCACATTCATTCCAAGCCTCACCCCCAAGCACCGCCTGCTTCACTGTTTCCGGAATAAACATTTCCTCACGGCTCCTTAATCCTAGTGACCTAACCTCCCCCGAGCCCCGCCCCCCCATCCCTCACTCGGTGGCCTCCCCATCTCTCAGGGCAACAGACTCTCCCTGAGGGCTTCCCAGACCTCACGGAGTTTCACTCCTGAACACTCTCATCTCCCATCCCTGACCCCTCTCTCCCTCCCTTCTGCTCGCCTTCCCTGCCCAGATGACCCCATCTCCCCGATGACGCCATCTCCCCCTATTCAGCCTGGACCTCTTTTCTGGGCCCCTGACCCGCCCACCCCTGTGAGGGTCCCAGTGCCAAAGTGAACTCCTCCTCTCCCTCCACGCCTCCCTTGGATTCCTGTCCCAGGAAGCGGGGCTGTAAAGCACCCATCAGATCAGAAGCCCCAGAGAGCAGGGTCCACTTGGTTCGTCCCTAGAGAGCATGCAGCCCGACAGAGCCCAACACGGAAGGAGCGGCCCCCCTCTGCAGCGCCCCCCTTGTGCTTGTAGCCCTGGCTAACCAAACACAGGGACTCAGGCTGGGCCAGGCTGGACCTGGACCTAGAGGGCCTGGAAGGCCTTGGGAGGAAGGGATGGGTGGGGAGCAGCAGCTGGCAGGGCCTGACACAGGAGACGCCCTGACTCATGCTCAGATGGCCATGCATCTGGACCCACGGCCGCTGTATCTGAGACCCCATCTGGGTGCTGGCAGAGTTCCACACCCGCTGGGTCAGCTCACCCTGGGGCCTGCCCACCAGGCCACAGGCCCAGACTTCTCAGCCCACCTGAGGGACCCCAAAGCAAGGTAGGCCAGCTTCTGGGGCGAACACAAGTCCGAGAGCAAGACTGATGTGGGTGCCAGTCCCAAATGCACCTCTCACCTGCTGTGTGGCCCTGAACAAGTGACTCACCCATTTCCTTGAGTCCCCATTTTCTCAGCTCCACAATGGGAACGCTGTTGCTTTAATAACTGGAAGGCGCCGTTATAATGAACCAAAGGTTGAGAAGACTGCTTAGCAGGCCAGAGGGAGCGGAAGGAGAAGAGGAGACAGGCCACCTCTCATTACCAAGAGAGAAGCTCCATCCCTCCGGCGCCTGCCGTGTGCAAAGCAGCCGGCAAGAAGTTTGTGTGCAGGATTTGCAAAAGGCCCTGGGTAAGTCTTTCATTGTTTCCATTTTTTGGAAGAGAAAACTGAAGCTCAGTGAAGGGAGGCTTGTCCACGTCCCGTGGCAGAGTCTAGGATTGAACACACATCCTTTGGTGCCTCCACCTTGGCCCGGTGACCCTGTGGCTAATGCCACACACCCTGACTGGTCCAGATTCATGGGAAGGAAAAGATGAGGGATTCAACAGGAAGTGAGAAGCAGGGAGGGAAGGAGGTGAGGAAGGTGATGAGTGTGGAATCCACATGGGCAGCAGGAAGAGCAGGGAGGACTCACGGTCTCTGCCTGCCCAGGACACACAGTCATTTCACCTTCTGCCCCACCTCCACATTGGGCCTGCTCTGCTGCTGTGTGACCTCAGCCCAACCGCTTAACCCCTCTGGCCATCTCCCTCTGTCAGGAAGGCCCAGAACCCTGCCCCTCTCCCCGATCCTTCCAGTCTTTGGAGGCCTGATCGAAAGAGAAGAGGAGAGCCTGGAAAGCCAGCCCCGGGCTTCTGGCACACAGCCCCCCAGGGAGATTCATTAGCATCACAGTTTCCGGGAGGGCCTGCTCAGGAAGCAATTAAAGCTGTAGGAATTATATCAAAGAAGCTGAATGCAGGATCCCAGAAATCAGCTCTAGCAATTCCCTGTCCAGAGCGCAGGGGGCCCAGGGAGGGGCAGCACGCTGGCCGAGGTTGTACACCCAGACCAGGGGAGAAGAAGGGTTCTCTCTCGCAGCCCTCCCAGCCACACCCCGTGAACGCTCCAGAGGCTCTGCTCTCAGGACGACAGAAGGGACGTGGGGACAGAGACAGGAAAGCATGGCTGGACCTAGGGCTGGCTGAAGGTCTGCCCCAGCTTGGCCACCTCTCCAGCTGCACCCCTGCCAGCAAGGCTGCCCCTGGCCTACTGAGGCCAGGCTCTTCCAGCCCGGACCTTTGCACACACTGCACCTCTGCACTGCCCTCTCACTTCCCAGGGCCCCAGGGTCACCTCCCACTCCACCCACTGGGGTCACAGAGCCAAGAGCCTCTGAGCTTTGCCCTCTCCCAGTAGCTGCAGGCATCACCACTTAAGGCTGTGGTTAAACCAGGAGTCAGGAGCCCAGCTTCCAAACCCGGGGGCTCTTCTCTCTGGGCCTGAGCTTGGAGCACCGTGCTTGGCGCTTCCTGTTTCTGAACGTCTTCAGGGTGCACTGCAAGTGAACGGGTATTGACAGGAAAGTCTGAGCTTCCTAGCCTTTCAGCCCGCCTCCTCCCTGGGCCCCTGGCGAGCTCACCCCACCCCTATCATTCTCCCTGCCAAGGTCTGGTGCTAAGAGCCCCTGGCAGTTCCCTACAGCTGTTTACTCAGGGCCTCCGCACACACTGTTCCTTCCACAAGTGCATGCATTCCCGGAGAACTCCTGGTCACCCTTCCAAGCTCAGCCCAAGGACTCCCTCCCACCTGCCCCTGCCCCCTCCAGTCCTGGAACCCTGTGAAGATACCCATTACATCGTGCCCCACCCACGTAGGACCTGGCCAGCCCCCTCCAGCTCCTTTCTGTGGCCCCAGGGTCCAACACTGGGGCAGAAGTAAATCTGTGTTGAAAGAGCCAACGCAGGTGAGGTTGGAGTCCCTTCCTGGATGGGAGACAGACTCAAAGAGTGGCAGGGACCACCAAAGGGATCAGCTTTTTTGTGTCAGAGCCCAGAGCCACACCAGCTCTCAGGGCCCCTGAAGGCAAGGCCTGCCCATTCCTGCCGGACCAGGCCTCCAGGCCTCCCCGCCACCACTCCTGCTGGCTGGGTGCCAGTGGGTGCCCATACCCCTGCTGTCCCAGGGGGCATCACAGCTCCTGCCCAGGCTTTCTCCATAGCAGCCATCCCTTCTCCAGCTCTTGATGTGTTGGCTTTAGTTCCCGATGTCCTCCTAAGCTGTGTGACCCTGGAGAGACCATATCACCTCTCTGGTCTACATGGTCCTTGTCTGGAAAGAAAGAGCTAACATGCCAGGGTCTCTGGGAGGATCAAAGGAGACACTGCCACATGGAACCGCGTTCTGTATACTTGAACAGGGATGCCTGGGTGGCTCAGCGGTTGAGCACCTGCCTTTGGCTCAGGACATATCCTGGATTCCCGAGTTTGAGTCCCAAATCGGGCTCCTTGCATGGAGCCTGCTTCTCCCTCTGCCTGTGTCTCTGCCTCTCTGTGTCTCTCATGAATAAATAAATTTAAAAATCCTAAAAAAAAAAAAAAAAAAAAGTGTATATTTGAACACACTGCGCTTCTGAGGGAGGTCAGGACTGCTGTCGGGGGTCCACCTGTCATGTTTCCACACCCCTGCCAGGAGGGTAACGACAATTCTGGGTTCCCGTCCCCAAGGAACTCCATGGTCTGGTGTGGCCAAAAGACACAAGGCAGCATAGAATATGTCATTTCTGAGACTCCAGCAAGAGGGATGCAAGGAGGCCTCCATAAAGGCCTGGTCCCAGAAGCCGGCTGTTCTCGAGAGAAAGGCCATTCCAGACAGAGGGAACAGCTCCAGTAAAGTCTCAGAGGCAGGAAAGTGCAAGGTAATTCAGACCCAGCCTGGCACAGTGGGGCCTGCAGACTGAGCAGGGGATTGCTGACCTGGCTCAGAACAAGGGCCTGAGAGTGCTCACCAGGAAGCTCAGAGCAACCAGTTATCTGGCAGGTGAGTCAGGCGAGAGCTTGAGCCCTGACCACAGCACTTAACGCTGTGTGTCCTCAAGTGAGCTGTTAACCACTCTGGCTGTCAGCCACCTGGTTGTAGCTTCTCAGGTGACAGGGAAAGAAAGTGGCATCTGCCCCAGGCCTGCCCTATAAGACTCTCTGTCCTCACCTTGGAAATGCTGTGTACCCACTTCCAGGAGGCCGTGGCCTAGTCTGCTGTTCCCTGGGCCTGCGGGAGGTGGTGTGGACTGCCCAGCTGTGCACAGGATGGGGTAAGGGCTCATCTTGCAGCAGGTCACACTGACCCAACTGCGGGAGGGGGCTGACACCACTGAGCCTTCCCTGGATGCTGCAGCCACCACAGCCAGGGAGGAACAGGAGAGAGACGTTTAGTCTCATTTTATAGATGAGAGCTTAGAGGTACGAGTCCTAATTCTGCAGCCTCTTGGCTGGATCCCAAGCTTCTAGACTCCGTATCACACCGGGGTTTCCCAAAGCAGGGCCCCGGAACAACAGCGTGATCCCTTCGGGGGGTACTCCAATGTGTCAGTAAGAAAGCCTCTACCCATCCAGTTCTTTCTCGAGGACTTTCCCAAAGGGGACCTCGGTTCAGTCTAGAGGGTCTTCTATTCCTCACGGCCCCTGCCCACCCACCTG